TGTTGATCAAAAAAAAAAAAACTAACGCATTTTTACAAACATCTTAAATGCAATCAAAATTCAAAGAATAGTTTGAAAACAATCATTTACAATCCAATTTGGAATAGTTTGGAACATTCTCTCATTTTTCAGATTATCTTAACTGCAATCAAAAAATAAATTTAGAACAGTTTGGAACAGCTTAAATCCAATCAAATTCAAACATCTTAAACACTAGAGAGAAAAATAGTTTAAAATCGTTAACAAGAGTGGAAAAAAACCCCTTAAGTTGTAGTTTCACTAGCCCTAGTTCAAAATTCTGAGATAATCTAAGATAATCCAAAGAATGAGAGACAAAATTGGGTAAAAATCAAAGTGAATAGAGTTTTCCAAGTTGCAAAAAATGAAGGGTTAGTAAAAATTATAATAAATAGGTCATATGGGTTTCACCCCACAAACAATGAACTTAAAAGAAGTAAAAATTCAACAAGCAAAGAAGAGTTCACAAAATGGACCATAACACAATAATGAAAGAAAGAGAGAATATATCAGCAGAAGAACACAAGAAGATGCATAGACTTCAATTGCTTCTATATATTAACAAATGACCGGAATAAGGCTCACAAAATGGACCAACATATATACTAGATTTTAGGGGGGGAGGGGGAGGGAGGGAGAGAGAGAAGACAGGGAAAAACAAGGAAAAAAAATTCATGCCAAACAAACAAGGAAAAAAAAATTCAAAATTTTCTTTCTCACAGTACTTCAATCCTAAAGTTTCACACTAATCTTTCATGGTTACTAGGAAAGCCTCCACGCTTAGAGGGAAGACAGTAATTCATGAATTATCTTAGCATCAACACACTTTGAAAAAAGTATGCGGAGGAAAGTCATTTTATTAAACATAAGCATCATGTGAATTGAAAATTAAAATTAAAATCGTATAACAGAGGAAATTCATTGTATTAAACATAAGCTTCATGTCGACTACTTTTTAGCCAAAATTAAAATCATATCCTTCAGTTCTTTTTAGCTTTTCATACTTTTTTGTTGGTTGGAGTCTCTTCCCCATTATCTTGTCAACTGCTCATGCTTAAACAACGATACAAGTGAAGTTCAAGCACTATTTGTTTAGCATTTTTGGAAGTATTTCTATTTTATGAGAACTACGTTCGCGTATATATATATATATAAACCAATCAAACAAATGATTTACTTGAGATGACTATTTAATTCAACTAGAACAACAAGTACTAAACATTACCAAAAACACTTGGAATAACTATTTGCCCTAATTTACAAATTGGGAGGTCCCAACCACAAGTTATAGTTGCTTCATGTGAATATCACTAAATATATTCAGCGATAAATCTTCGGAGAACATGTTAAGTCAATTACAAGTTTTCAACATGTAAATGCAACAAAAATATAGTTCCAAAATACATTTGCTAACGAACTAGGAGTTTTTACAAACATCTTAAATGCAATCAAAATTCAAATAACATAATTAGACCTATAATTTTAATGTCAAAATTTCTCATGAAATATTTTGCAACAACTCAAGAACAAGTCATGGAAACAACAATATGGTTACAAAATACTATATTAATTAGTGTAAAAATGGATTATTTCATTAAGAATGTCAACCGAGATATATAAATAGCAAAATAGAACAAAATCCTTACCAAGCCTTGCTTCAGTACAAATTTCGAATCAGTGTGAGCCAAGAGAGACTGGAATAGAAATTCAGATAGCACTAGAGACAGAAAATAGGGTAAAAATCAAAGAGTATAGTTTTAGAAGAAAGAGGATTTCAAAAATATCCATAGAGTAAAAAATGGGGAAGAAGAGAGTTTTAGAAGAGGGTTTAGGGTTTCAGAAATAATCAGAGGGAGGCATGCCTTGTTAATTGCTCTTCAAAAAAAATTTCCTTTGTTTTCTCAGAAACCTAACAGAGGCTCAATAGGTTAGATTAGAGTTTTAAACTGAACAACCACTTAGAAACTGCAGTCAGTTGAACCAGAGGAAGACAGACGAATGAGCACAGCAGAGAGAGAGAGAGAGAGGACCAAGGGAAGAGATCACTCAAAGGAGGGAGTAATAGAGAGAGAGAATACACTGTGGAAGAAGAAGAGAGATGGTCAGCCAGTTGCTCCGGTGTCCAATTTCACAAAATTAAAGAATTCAATGGAAGAGAGAGTGCATGAGTTCAATGTCTTCATTCTGTCTAAATAATTTCAATGATAGGGGGGTTAGTGTAATTTTCCAAACGTCAGAGGGTGATATGTATTAAACCCAAACCTCAGGGGGTGCAAGTGTAATTTACCCTTTTATTTTTTATCATGACAGTTTTCCCTTTTAAATATAGAAAATCACAAAGAAAACAACAAATTTGAACGTGGTTGACTTATCCTTGATTTATTTCAGAGTGATGTTTTGGAATTTCTTATACTACATGCGAATTGTTATGTTGGAATTACAATGCTGGGATCCAACTTTTTGTTTTTACCATCCAACGGGGCAGGTTGATGAAGGTTGAAGATGAAGAGGCCAAATCAATTTCTTAGATGGACATTTAATAAAATGTGTTCTTGTTGCTGATCAAAAAAATTAATACAAAATTTAAATTCTTATATGGAAAAACATGGGAATTACATTGCAAGGAGGGTTGTATTCTTCTTTAGAAAGAGGGATTTCTGTTCTTTCTTATCCCTTCCCCCTGTTTCATTGATTGTAATGATTCACATTATTATTTATAAGCTCTTTCATTTTCCGATAAAAAGTAAAAAACCACAACCACTTAGAAACTGCAGTCAGTTGAACCAGAGGAAGACAGACGAATGAGCACAGCAGAGAGAGAAGAGAGAGAGAGAGAGAGAGAGAGAGGACCAAGGGAAGAGATCACTCAAAGGAGGGAGTAGTAGAGAGAGAGAATACACTGTGGAAGAAGAAGAGAGATGGTCAACCAGTTGCTCCGGTGTCCAATTTCACAAAATTAAAGAATTCAATGGTCAGGATGTATTTGTGTAATCTAAGGGGAATAATAAAGGTGCATATGGTGTGCAACTCTTTAGGGGATGCACACTGCAACAAGACCCATATATTTATATATATACATATATATTTGGGAGGTTGGGCTATGTTTTTATTTTTATTTTTTATCATGACAGTTTTCCCTTTTAAATATAGAAAATCACAAAGAAAACAACAAATTTGAACGTGGTTGACTTATCCTTGATTTATTTCAGAGTGATGTTTTGGAATTTCTTATACTATATGCTAATTGTTATGTTGGAATTACAAAGCTGGGATCCAACTTTTTGTTTTTACCATCCAACGGGGCAGGTTGATGAAGGTTGAAGATGAAGAGGCCAAATCAATTTCTTATATGGACATTTAATAAAATGTGTTCTTGTTGCTGATCAAAAAAATTAATACAAAATTTAAATTCTTATATGGAAAAACAGGGGAATTACATTGCAAGGAGGGTTGTATTCTTCTTTAGAAAGAGGGATTTCTGTTCTTTCTTATCCCTTCCCCCTGTTTCATTGATTGTAATGATTCACATTATTACTTATAAGCTCTTTCATTTTCCGATAAAAAGTAAAAAATCATATTGCTGAATGGCAATTTATTTTTTCACTTTAACACCCCAAACAATCAGGATCACATGCCCAATCACAATAATCAACCATCAGAACATTGATTACTTATCTAGAATTTTTGGGCCATACCATCATAAAAACAATGTTGACCACGTATACACTATATTGGGTACACTTATGCATGTACAATTAAAAATAGTTTATTTAAAAGAAAAAATAAATGAAAGTATGAATTGCACAAATATTGTGACATCGTTGTCGTTATACCAAGTGTTTGTTTGCTTTTGCAGCCGTGTTTATTTTCTACTAGCATTGTTTTGCCATTTTCTCATGTTTATTTGCAAACTAAATAAATCGTATCAGAAATTCTCAAACCGAAGCAATGGTCATGGTTGACAGCCAAATATGTCAAGTAGTTCAAAGTAATATGCAATTTTTTCTTCAGTCTATCTTTACCATGTTTGAATTTCATGTTCATTTTAAAATTACATTGAATTGCCCCTACTACTCCGATTGCAGTTCATCAGCCTTGCTCAATTTTTTGGGCCATACCATCATCCATACAAGTAAAAATTCCCCGTCACCTATGAAGCACAAACACCTCTCCATAAGTCATGTACCAATGTCAGACACTGACAAATGCTAGACACACTACGGACACGTTGCAGACACGTTAAGACACACCGGGGACATGCTGAGAACACACTAGGGACCATTTTTAATTAAAAAAAACGTAATATTTTTATTTTTATTTTTATTTTTATTGAAATAGCATATCCAAGGTTGATGAATTTGATGAAATTAAATATTTGACATAAAATAAATATATAACATTAAAAAATATGACCTATAATAAATATATAAAATTATATGTTTTGCACATGTCCCCAGAGTGTTGTTTTCTGCGTTTTAAAATTTTGCATGTCTGTGTTGTGTCACGTGTCTTTGTCCATACTTCTTAGCCCATCACCCTTAATTTCAAATGATGAATGGATTTTTCCACATCCTATTATTTAGAGGGAGTCTGTATAACAATTTCACTGCTAAATTTTTTTGTCTTGTGATGCAACGATTTTGGCCTTTGTCCACATTTATTTGTCAAATTTTAAATAAATTTAAGCTAATGGTTAATGCCATCTCTAAGTTAAAATGGTGGCCGAAACTGTTTGTGAGCTGTTGTTAATGCCATCTCTAAGTTAAAACAAAATTTAACCTCATATATATATTTTTTGAGATGAAAAAAAAAAAAAGGATTAGAGGAATGGGAAAGAGACCAAATTTAAGAGAAGAAGAGCTTTGGGTGTGAGGGAGAGAGGCAGGAAGGCGGAGGAGTGAGAGAGGAGATTGTAATGAGAGAGAGAGGATAAAGGAGAAATTGAGATTTGAGACAGAGAAGCGACGGCAAAGTGATCTCTAATGGCGAAGGTGAAACAGTGGCGGAAAGCAGCATCAATGGTGAGGCGGTAGCAAAAAAAACAGCAGTGGCCAAGCCTTAGTCAAACTAAAGGTTACTATGTCGTTCTATTACAAGTTACAACTAGTCTTTAGCAACTAAATGAAAATATGAGAGAGTTTTGAAATGAAAAGAAAATGTAATGATGATGGGGTGATGGAAAGTCGAAGAAAGTGTCATTATGATGTGAAGATGAAAGATTGAATAAAGTAATAGTAATTATAATGTGCAAGTGAAAAAGTTGAATAATGTGTCAAGAGGTAAAGAATGTGATAATAATATTTGGAGTTTCTCAAAAAAAAGAAAAAATTGTTTAACATTTTCTGTCAACATGATAAGGGTGTTACACTCCAGCTAATAAAAAGAAGTCTGGCTGGAAAAATGCATCCGATCTAGTGTTTTGAGCTCAGCAATGTGTTCACTAATTGTGAGGTTTCTATTATGATTATATCATTGATGTCAGCTAGTATAATCAAAGTTTTTAAAGGCGAATGCGTACCTCTAGGCGTTTTACCCCTCATGAGGCGAGGCGTAAGCCTCAAGGCATTGAGGCGTAAGCCTCAAGGCGTTGAGGCGTAAGCATTTCAAATTTCAAATTTTAATATTTAGTGAATAAATTAAATATTTTAAAATAGTAAAAACATAAAAACAAAATTAAATATAAAGGTGTAAATACTTTTCGCCTTAAGGCGTAGAACATTTTACTACATAGAAGAAAATTTTCCTTCACTAAAAGTGAAATTGATATTCTTAACTTTAGTGATTGAGCTTTTCGCTTGACCATTAACTGTGTTTTTTCTTAATTGATTATTTACTTAATTTTTTCGATAGAATATAGTTGCAAAAAGTTGCAAAAAGGGATTCTTTTTATTTTTTTAAGTTTAAACAATCTAATAGACTAAGTTTAACAAAAGCCCAAGGCAACCTTTACATGTGCGTACTTCTCACATGCTTATGCGCAAAAAACATACAAAGCGCACCTAAGACGCATGTCTCAAACTATGATGCACAAGCCTTTGGGAAGTAATGTCTAAAAATCAAAACCTTAATGCATTTTACCTTAGCCTCGAGGCGAGGCGAGCCTCAAGAAAGCCTTTTAAAACTCTGGAGTATAATTACTTTGAAAACACATATATAGATATGGAAAAATCTATTGATACATAAAATTCATACAAAAAACTCTCACAAGAATGATGTGGCAATGCCATTCTTGTAAATAAACTCATCTTCATGGTTGTCATGTTTTAAAGTGAAAGGTCCATATTGTGACACATCATTCTGTATGAAAATTTTGTATGAATTTTCTGTTTGCATATCATTACTCAATGGATAGTAATTTACTTTTGATGGCGGTTGCTTCAGGATGGAGCTGCGTCAATCCTTAGGTTTGATCTTGGCCAAGGAAAACACAGTGGCAGCCTTGCTAGACCTGTTTCTGTGCAGCGTGCATTATCCATTCTTGAGATGGAGGTTGAGCAAATAAATAAATTATGAGCATTATATGCAGAAAGAAATTCATGAACAACCAGAATCTCTGACAACAACAATGCGAGGCAGACTTATACAAGGAGGTTCGTGCAAAGCGAAAAGTGTTCTTTTAGGTGGACTGAAGGATCACCTGAGAACTATCAGGAGAAGCAGGCGTATTGTTTTTATTGGCTGTGGCACAAGCTATAATGCTGTTTTAGCTGCAAGACCCATATTGGAAGAACTTTCTGGTAAGTACTTCTTGCATGTCATGTTCAGCAGATTTTGAATTTGATGTTACCGACTAAGTTAAAACTATTTGAATTTGTAATATTCACAGGTATTCCTGTTACAATGGAGGTTGCTAGTGATCTGTTGGATAGGCAGGGACCAATATACAGAGAAGATACAACTGTTTTTGTTAGTCAATCTGGTGAAACTGCAGATACGTTACATGCATTAAAGTATGCATTAGAAAATGGTGCACTATGTGTTGGCATTACAAATACTGTTGGTAGTGCAATTGCCAGGAACACACACTGTGGTGTCCATATAAATGTTGGTGCTGAGATTGGTGTGGCTAGTACCAAGGTATAAAAATTTGTTTTTATTTAATTTTTTTTTATCGGTGTCTTATTTTGAGTTTATCTCATTACCTCTGCCAACAGGCATACACTAGTCAAATAGTAGTGATGGCTATGCTAGCACTGGCAATTGGTGGCGATGCAATATCCAGTCAAGCAAGAAGAGAGGCTATAATAGATGGCCTATTTGAATTGCCAAATATGTTTTATTGATTTCTTTCCTTGTCATGTTGCAGATTTCATAGACTTTCAATTTAGGTGAAAGTGAGATTTAGTGAGAACAACTTAAAATAATTGCACTTTCATGGAGGTACAAGTGGATGTTGTGCCCCATGCCACGACTTGCACTTGCACCGGACATAAACCCACTTGCACCTCTATGAAAATTGCAATTATTTTGTATGGTTCCCACTAAACCACAATTTCCATTTCTATTTATGGCCAAGGAGGTATGTTGTTAAAAATGCTCATTTTGTAATATCTGGACATTTTTTTAATTATTTATAATTTTTTATTTTGCAGGCAAAGTCAGAGAGGTGTTGAAGCTTGACCAAGAAATGAAGGATCTTACGAAACTATTGATTGCTGAGCAGTCATTGCTTGTGTTTGGGAGAGGATACAACTATGCAATGGCTCTTGAAGGGGCCTTGAAAGTGAAGGAGGTGGCACTTATGCACAGTGAAGGTATACTTGCTGGTGAAATGAAACATGGTCCTCTGGCTTTGGTTGATGAAAATCTTCCAATTGTTGTTATTGTTACCCGTGACGCTTGTTTCAGGTTAGTTTTGCTATGATGAAGAACAGTTACATCTTTTGAAATTGCAAATGTCATTTTCTGCTGGCATGTTCTTGTTTGTGCACAACAAGCAGTAGTCAGTTATTCAACAACTTTATGCTCGCAAAGGTTGACTGTAACGCCCTCAAAATAAACCCATAAATCATACAATCTTGACATGCTTAGACATAAGAGAATAAAGCACAATTTCATTCATCAGAGTATTCATTACAAAAGTATTACATGTTGACATCAAAAGTAAATGCCCCATGGGCTTACAACTTTCCAAGCCAACACTTGGTTACAAAAAGAGAGTACTAACTCGAAATACAAAATAAGCCATTGGCTTGATTTACATGTAATACACAAAATAATCACAAAAATAAATAAGAGAGTCTTCAACTCCCATAACCATCCAAGCTAAGACCTCGGAGGCGGCATAATACCTGAACCTAAAAATGATGTCCCATATAGGGTGAGCCAA